TCTGGCAGTCTGTGGGATGGGAGCGCAGGCGAGCTCCGCTACAACCTCATCGTGGACTCGCTTGTGGGCATCATCCACAAGAAGCCGAAGGAGGGCGGCATCTCCGCCGTGGGCGGCACCGGCTCCATCTACACTTACTATGGCCCCGAGGAGGTATCCTTCAAGACGCTGACCGACAACTTCCTGCAGAAGGCGAGTCAGGGCGTCTGCATGGGCGGCGGTCCGCCCTCGCTTTTTTTGTCCGCGTGCATGCTTTGCACGGCCCGGTTGCATCCCCGTGCCCTGTCATGACAGGACCTGCCGAAGGTGATGCCGTCCCTGGAGCTGGCAGAAGAGCCCGTGCCCCTGTGGTGGACCACGGACTTCATCTTGGCTTCCCCCGAGGGCACGCCCAAGGAGGAGGAGAAGTGGATCGTCGGCGAGTTCAACTGCTCCTGCGTGGGCATCTCGAGGTGCCTGGCCGCCTACTGCAAGGAGGACACTCCCAACGCCTGCTTCGATGACATCACGGAGGAGGACAAGGCGGAGGCCAAGAAGTACGGCGACCTCATGGGCCAGAAGGCTCTTGGCATCCTCTCCAAGTGAGTGCTTGTGGCTGTGTAAAGAGATCTCACCCATAGGCGGTTGCACAGTGAGCACCCGCAGCGCCGAGAGCCGGCCGTGACTGTTGTGTCCTGTATGTCACGGTGTTCAGTTACCATGTTGTACGAGGGTGTTCTAGCTTATACGTTGCACTCCTGTCGGCTGAGCTTACTGCTAGAAGCTTCTTGGCATGGTGCGTACGCCTTTGCGGCGCAGCGTCTCAAGCTCATGGTCATCTGCCTAGGACCATAATCGACTCCTCTCATTGTGACAATGTCTGTGCGAAACCAATTTCCTCAATTTATCTTCACATCGGTCTCGTTCTGTAGGCGTGTCATCGAGCACTGATGACTGTCATATCATATCATAATCGCTCTGTCCGTGCATCTGTTCGCCCGTCCGTGCGTTCGTCTGTACGTTCCGTCTTCGGTATGTCTGCCACGTATGTGTCTGTACATGCATGCATGTCAATGTCTGTCTGCCTGCCTGTCGCATGCTGTGACTGCCGAGTCTAAACACCATCGTCCTTGCAATGCAGGAGGGAGCTGCGACATGTTCAAACTGTTGCTTCTCCTTTCCTGCTCTATATCGGAGGAGTCGCCGACAATCGCTTTGAATTTGAAGATATCCGAACTGTCTTCCTCGGGTGGATAAACTGTCCACTTCGAGCCCGCAAAAGCCTGCAGGATGGATTGTGCAGGGGACCTGGGGCCTCAGTGTTGCATGCAAGCAACAGTGGATGCGTAGTCTGGCTCAGAGGCGTACAGGCCAGCCCGGTAGGGGTATCACGGCAGAATGACGGAAGCATTTACTGATGGTGCGAGAGTTGGTTTTTGCTAGTTGATTTTAGGATGCTTGTGGCTAAAGACGGATTCTTGGATCGACAAGCCTGCAGGAGAGCACTTGTAGACATTTAGTCAGGACGAGGCGTTCAAGGTATAGCCGAAACTAAGTAGCACCGGCGTGGTGCAGTATAATCTGAATTGAACGTGTGTATCTGGGGGTGTCTTCCGCATGCGGCGTGCGCCGCGTGATGCATGCGACCCCTTTGGTGCAACACCTTTGCACAATGCATGCTTAGCTCGGCGCTCTGCGGGGCGAGAAGGGATGATAAAGAAATTGCTGAATGATGGCCACTCTGCCAAGAAGAAGGATACGGCTGGCATGACTCCTTTGCACAATCTTTGCAGAACAGTGGGAAGGTGCGGCAGACAAAATTGGGCCGCAGACGAAAGGCAATGCGTGGAGCCTTTCGAGCACAGGCTCAGGTTGATACTTTATAGGTAAGTCCACGATCGCCACTCACTCGATATGTCCCTGGCAGGAGCATCTCGGAATTGGCTTCCTGTTCATCCCATCTACTTCAAGCCCGTGCAGATGTCAACGCCAGGGATAAGTGTGGGAGGTCGCCGTTAATGCCCCTTCGACCCGTATTGGCACTCGACCTTGAACTAGCTCTCTCTAGTGTCGCCGCTCGTGAAAGGCATCCTAGATATCCTAGGCCGCATCACGCCATCTCTTTTCCTGCTACCTGAGGCTACTGTGTGCCAACGAGAGCACATTGCCGCCGATGCTTTCCACGCTGCTCGGACACCGTGCCAATGTCAATGCACGGGACAAGCGTGGGAGGTCCCCTCTTCTCTGCCTCTGCGCCAACGAAAAGGTATCATCTGAGATGATTATGGTGCTGCTTGAGAGCCGTGCGGATGTCAACCAGCAGTCCAACCAGCTCGTTTCACCTCTGCATGATCTTTGCTCCAACTGGTCATTGCCGGCAGCGCACGTCCTGCTTCAGGCCCGTGCAAATGTGAATGCTGTCAGCAAGATGGGTACGACACCTCTCCACGAGCTCTGTGCCAACATTGGCGACTACCAGTGCAGGGACGGCGTCCGGTCCTCGCTGGGGGTCCAAGGAAGAGTAGCGTAGCTTTGTTTAAGGATCTGTATACCGATCTGTCCCTGCCGGCTCAGGTCCAGCAGGTGTCTTTGCTGCTTGAGGCTGGAGCCGACGTGGCGAAGTTGGACGACGAAGGCCGGCGGCCTTGCGAGGTGCTGTGCTTCAACTTCTTCCAGAACGGCGACGGCCCTGCAGGGCCGCTTTGCCCTGAGGTCCTGGATTCTGCACTGTCTCCACTTCTCTTGCAGGAAGTCTCGCAGCTCCGGTGCAAGAACTTTCAAGCCAAGGCGGAGTGGTTCAGGGGAGTACTGGACATGCTGCTGGTCTCGTCCCTGCCGCCTTACCCAGATTTCGATCTCGCGCACTTGGAAGTTCATCGGGATCAGGTGCTCCAGTCTATGTGTCCACAGATGGAGCACCTGACCCCCCACCTGGAAGAGATCGATTTCGATTTCGAGACTGGCCAAGGTTCGGGATTGACGAGGGAGCTCTTCGTGGTCTTCTCGAGCGAGATGGCGAACGAGAACTACAATCTCTTCGTATGCACCGACACGGATCCACCACGGCTTTCACTGTCTCCAAGACCCTGCGTGAACGAGTATCGGAACTCCTACTTGCAGCTTGTGGGCAAGATGATCGGCTTTGCGCTCTTGAAGGAGCAGCACCTTCCTGTGCACTTTGCGAAACCTTTCCTCAAAGAGCTACTCGACCTGGACTTCTCCTTCGAAGATCTGATGGACTTCGACCCCGAGCTCTACAGACGCCTCGTACAGTTGCGCGCATACGATGAGGAAGGAGTCCTTGCTCTGGGTTTGAACTTCTCTCTTGATGATTCACACTTCGGCAAGAGACGGAAGGTCAGTCTCGTCCTTGGTGGCGAGGAGATCCTTGTCACAAAGGGTAACTTGGAGGTGTACTTGCGACTGTATGCCCAGCACAGAATGAAGTCTGACGAGAAGGCTCTCGCAAGCCTCAAGCGTGGATTTCATGACTTCTGTCCGCCAGCCCTCATCCAAGCAGCACGGACGTTCTTGACCGTCGAAGACTTTGACCAGTTATTGTCAGGAACAGACAGCATTGATGTCGACGACTGGCAGAGGCACACGCGCTATGACAGCCAAGGCACTCCACGCACTAAGGTGGTCAGGTGGTTCTGGGAGGTCGTCAGATCTATGTCGCTGCAGCAAAGGAAGCAGCTGCTGCGCTTCGCGACAGGAAGGACTTGTGCTCCCATCGGTGGCTTCAAGTTGATGAAGTCCGAAGATGAGCACATTCCTTTCACGATTGCTCTGAAAGAGCAGCCAGTGCAGGCGAAGGTGAGAAGCTCTTACCCGACAGCAGCAACATGTTCCAACCTTCTGCAGCTGCCTCGCTACAAGAGCAAGGCAGAGCTCGAGAAGTATCTTTCAGCAGCCATCAACGAACAGATGATGGCGTTCTCTGAGGAATAATCATTCCGCCCGCAGAGCTGAGAAAAAGGTCCATGTCATCGGCCTCAAGTGCAGCACTCTGCGTGAACTTGGAGGTGCTGCTATCCTTGCATGCAGTGCGCTTTCTCCTCGCAGCGGCTGACATTCTCAAACGCCGAAGTTGTTGTGGATCGCTCTGTCCTTCCCTCTTCCGCAATCATGGGGCATCTCAGCTTCATCGTTCCGCCATACGAGGGTCCGCCGTAGAGTCCGTTCTGTACTGCACATGAGACGACTTCAGGAGCGCTGCGTCCACCGATGCCAAGAAGGCAGCATGTAATGATTGGGATGCAGAGAATTGCAGGGATGTATTGAGGTCTTCCCTGGTTCAGCAGTATTGAGTCTTCGAGACAGGTTGCTATAAGAAGGCCGAAGGATTCGTCAAGTCTTTGGGCGCTTGAGGAGCTCGAGGGCAAGAGCGTCGAGGAGATCGCCGCAGCGCTCAAGGAGCCCGAGCAGAAAGGGCAGACGCCGATCGGGCGGAAGCCTTGCTTGTCCCGATTGTGCAGGAGCTGCCCGCTGCAGACCTCGCGAAGGTGAAGGAGGCTTTGAATGCAGGCTTGGATGGGACCTGAAAGTTTAGACCTAGAATCGATTCCAGGAGCAGAGACATTGTGTATCATTGTGTCATGTCTTAGCGACTTTGCTGTCCGGCATGAACAACGTCGACTTCGGTACGGTTATCCGCAGGTGCAGGACCATGTCCCGGACCAGTGAACTGCAGCGCTGTCAAGGTGGTGGCCAAGGTAGGGTGCCTGGAGTCCGATCTGGCACGTGGTTGTGAACGTAGCTCTCAGCTCTGTGTAAGGACTACAAGGGGCTGATGGCGCAGCCTGCTGAGCCCAAGTTCAAGGCCAGGGGCTTTAGGGTGGACGAGGATCTGACGCCGGTAGGTGCGAAAGAAGATATGAAGAGATTGTGGATGCTTCCGTTCTTCAGGGAGCTCTGGCGCAGATCTTCGTGCGCAGCCAGCCATATGGAGGTTGCGGCGGTTCTTTTGCATGTGTTTATGGGGAGCAGCAATGGTGATAAACGATCCAACGAAGCAACATGACATGTTTGCGGTGTTCATGATCTCGAACCTGTCGATGTCAAGGGCAGCAACAGCATAAGGGCCGTCGCTCCAATCGTAAAATCAATACAGAGAACGAGAATAAACTGCGATCAATAGTGCCAACAGTATTGAGCAGCACAGCGTCTGCTTGGGCCTGGTCGGTTTGGTTCCGGGGGTTCGCAAACACGTGTGTACGCATGTCAATGTATGACTCTATGACACTGTATGTATATATGAATACGTATGTATTCCTGCTTTTGCAAGGTCGTGCATGCATGTGAAACTGTGCGTCTCGTGTGAGACGAGCTTTCCCCCGCATCTGGCGGTGCGAGGCTCTGATAAGAGCAACAACGGCCGGGTGCCCGGACGAAGGACGAACCAGATGTGGAGTGCCAAGAAAGGGGAACAATAGCGTCAGGAGCTTTCGACATGTTTCCTGGAGTCGAGAATCTAGCTGATCTCAGCAAGAGCCCTGCTTTTGGAGAAGCTTTTGCCAGCACAGGTCACCGCTATGACTCCATCCCCT